CAATCTTAAGAAAACAATTGCTAATAATAATTACTTGTTGGCAGACGAAGTCAGAGTGGGCATAGGAATGATGTTCAAATTCTCACACATAATCAAACATCAGGAGAACAAACCTGGTTCCATTCTTGTATCTCATTTAACAGTTTTGCAGTACAAAGTATTGATCATTAACATCCATGTACAGCCCCAGGTTACTCTTCTGCTCATTCGCTATGACAGACAAACGCCAATTCAAGCAATTCATTTACAATTCAAGACCAACCAATTAATTTACTAATCCATTCACTGCAACAGACCTGTAGCTGCACAAGCCAGAACAGAAATCTGTCAAAGATGCAATCAGAAAGCAGATCAGTGAGGTGTGGACTCAGGGTTTGAATGAGGAGGCTGCAGTAATGAACTGTTAATAAAAACGATTGCACCACGTGAATTAACAGCTACTCACAAATCAAACTGCTATGCAAGTAGCAGGGTGTGTTTCACCGTGTTCTAATATACAGTATAGCATAGACTTGCTTCTGTAGCAGCTGGGTTAGTCTGACAGGAAGTGAAGTGTTGCAGGAGGGAGGGACTGTGTACTAGGATGTAAACAGCAGAAAGACATCAGCTCACAGTCGTGCCACCTTCACCATGAGCACACAAGGACTGCTGCTCTGTCTGCTGGTACATGTAGCCACACTCCTGCCTAGTAAGTGTCCAGTTTCACTCTCCCTTGTCTCGTTTGAAAATATTGAGATTTTCCAGTCAGATATTCTGATGTCATTAATCAATGCTGATTAAAAGATAGATATTAAGTATCTTTTGACATCTTTTCCCCAAATTATACATATACAGTAAAGTATACAGTATTTAAATAGTATTTCTTAGGCTTAATAAATGTACCCTAATGTGTAATTTCACAGATCTGGAATATAGAAAAACTGAACAGATAGAACTATTTAATAACAAATATATATGTTATTAAAATTAACAATGTTTATTAGTTGGGTACAAATTGCCATATACTGTATTCTGTGCCAGATTAATTGCTGTTGTGTGTCATTTCAGGTGTCTTGTAGAAAGCTGAAGTCCTAAGAATCTCAGAAAACAGTATATTCGTATTTCAAGGGTGTTTCTAACTCGTCCTCTCTGTGTGACAGGTGTGAGATCTCAAGAGCAAGTATCTCAGGATCCCTTTCTGACCCAGACTGAAGGACAAACACCAACCATCCACTGTCAGTACACAACAGCCAGTGTGTACACTATGCACTGGTACAGACAGCGACCGAACCAAAGCCCAGAGAAAGTTTTATTAATATCAGGAGAAACAGGCACAGAAAACCAGTTCAGTGGTTCACACTACAAACAGAACAGCTCTGGGGTTTTGAAGATCAGCAGCTCTCAGCTGGAAGACTCAGGGACCTATTTCTGCGCTGTGGAGGCACAGTGTTTCAGCTCTATGGGGAGATGTGACAAAAACCCTCAGTTCCAGTCACAGACACAGCTGCCCTGCTGTCAGTGCTCATGTATCAGACTGGGGAAGAACATCACTGTTTCAGTGAAGACTAGAAAAATCAGCCATGTGATTCTGATTTATGAATAAAAGAAAACCCTTTTAATCAAATCAAAATGTCATCTCTTTCTCCCTTGTTTAGTATTTCTGAAGGCACATGACTGCTACTATTTTTTAAAAACAGTGTTACCTCCTGCATTTCTGATTATAAAACATATTTTTCAACATATTCCATAAGAATGAAATATTCCCCAAATTTCAAATTAGATAAGAATAAATTAAATGTTTGAAAACATTCTAATGGATAGTATTGTGTGGTGATGGACAGCTCTTTTATTGCAAAATAATGCTACAGGATTTTCTTAAAAGTCATTGCTGATTTCCAAGTGTTCTTAAACCAAAATGTTTCCAATAATTTTAACTTTAATTCTCCTGACACATTCCCATTCTTCATGTTCACATTGAAAATAGAGATGCTGTCCCCAACACTGAGATCCAAAGGACTAGACAAAAGTATCCAAAAAGTACAAACACTCATTCGTCTCTCAAAGACTTACAGTAACAACTTAACAACGTAAATTCATAAATATTCATAAATCACTTTTACAGATGGGCTCGCAGCAAAAGACAATGTGTCTTCAGTAGACCTGAGTAACCAAGAGTCTAATGTAATAACAGACATGCAGTATCGGTTTTGCCCACTCTTACATTCTAAAAATGGAGCTGCAGTGTTAGTCTGCTTCACAAGAGAACTGGCACTAGAAACGCCTTCTTCCAGACAGAGCACATTCTGACAGCACACGTCACTGGAAGTTCCTGCGTGTTTTTTATAGATGTGATTTTTTTACACTCGAGAGAGAAAATCTGCAGACTCAGGTGAAACCAGCTGTCTTGCAGAAAAGCAGAAGGGCAGCAGAGAAATGCAGATCATTTACCTCTTCGTGGAGAAACCACTTTACATTTTGATTTTCATCATCAGTGGAGGTAGTGTTTCTTCTGTACTCTAGGATTGTGATTATTGTTATTACACTGTTATTGAGAAAACAATTTTCTTTGCTTTCCTTTTCACTTCTACAATATATTTTTTTTCCAGTCATGGCAGCTGGTGACTCCATCACCTCTCAAGAGGCAGATCTCTCTGGGAATGAAGGGGACTTAGTGACTCTGACCTGCTCTTATGATTCCAGCAGTAATAACATTTATATCTACTGGTTCCGTCAGTCTTCAGACCAGCCACTTCAATACATACTGCAAAAAGGAGCCCGTTCATATAGTAGTATTTACACTGCAGACTTCGCTAAAAGACGTTTTAGTTCTACTGCAGAAAGATACTCCACCACACTCACCATAACAGGTCTTACCCTGGAAGACACAGCCATCTATTACTGCGCTCTGTGGGAAGCACAGTGTCACAGAGACATAGAGAGGCTGAACAAAAACTCCTTCCTTAAAAACTGGCTGCGTTTCAAAGGGTTTTGGAAGATGAAAAAGGCTTCTGAGTTACTTTGTCAAGTTACAAACTGCAGCAATACCGTGGTGAGATTGCTGCTCAGATTGTGGTTACAGCATGCTAAATAAAAATGTCTAGTCTTCACTCTTATTTTGTTTTGTACCTATGTGTTGGTGCTTTTGAGAAAACACCAAGAAAAACAGGCCGGTCACCTGTTTAGAGAACATTTTAGTGAATATTCATTTTCTCACAATCCTAAATCTTGGTGTACAAAACGTAGAAAAATCAATTTTAAAATATTTGTGTATGTCCATGATATCCAGTATAAAATGTTTTATTAGTAATTACTGAATCTTATGGAAGTCACAACACTGCTAGTGTTAGTCAGACAGTTCCCATTATATTCAGGGTAACTAAGTCACTTTGAGCCCTGAAAACCTTATCTCATGTTAAATGCTTTGTACTTTGCTTAGCTTATCACTTATATTCTTATAATCTCTAAAAAAGTTTTCGTAAATATACAGATTCTTCCTAAAACTTGTTTTTCATTCAGAAGTTTTTCAGCTTTTGGGATGAACTATTCCACAGTCTGATCCCCTGGTGGTTGAGAGTTTGGGGTGACAAACAGTTACTGTGTATGGACACATACAGTATACACCCATTAGCAATGATGAGGGAAATTGCTGATTTTACTCTCACCTCTGCTGCATCAATCACATTGATGATCAATCATGTGGCTAATTACTGTAAGATGAGTTCAATTAAACAACTGCAAGCTCAGAACAGGCGCCTTGCCTCTTGTGGAACAGGGAAATGTAAGATATCTGTGGAGAAACAGCAGGTGGCATCAAAACCTAAGAAGTTCATGAGCAGATTTTTCTGAAGCTTTAAAAACACAGTGAGGGTAGAAATGAGAGGAAACCATTAGACACAGGTTCTTAAACTCACTTTTATGTGGGCCCTGTGTTTTCTGGATTGTATTCCAACCTCGACTAGTCATTTAAACAATTCACTTAATTATTTTCTGAGTTAGATCTATGTACAAGTTTGTTTGGTCGATCACAATTGAATAACCAAGACATTCACTTTATTAAAGGCATGTTAAAAATACAATCGCCCCGAGTCTGGTTAGAAGTATAACAACAATGTAGCAAATTAAATAATCAGATGAACTATGTAACTGAGAATATGGTTGCAACACAAACCAGAAGACATGTCTCCCTCTAAGAATTGAGTGTTTAGCCTCTGTGTTAAGGGAAAGGAATCCTGAGTCACTTAAGTGCTAAAAGGAGGAGATTGTGTTGGGATTTGACTTAGATATTCAAAATGTACAGGGGACTGAAAATCTTTAATAATTTGTTTTCCAGCATGGGTCCTTTTCAACAATATGTATAAAATCGTTTCTTACAAAAACATAACCAGAGTCACGTGGTTAATGACTGGTGGTGCCTATCAAATTATCATTGTTTACAACATAACAGATAACGAAATGAAAAGACAAGAATATTCTGTTTAGACTCTTGTCTCTAAGAGACACTTTCCATGTTTCCAAGATACTGTAACTTTTAAAAAGTGGTCCATGAACATGGTTTTTAGTACCTATCCAGCATAAATCTACAGTACCTACTGTACTAATCCTAATTCCTCATATACTGTACATGCTCATAAGACCAGACATACTATGTGTATAAGAAAGATAAGAAACGTTATTGAACAGTATTTTATTTATTTTAAAGGGGGAAATAGTTATGGACATACAGCATGTCTGTACATCTAAATACATCACATCTATTACACATGCATAACTCATTACTACGTCATGGCATACAGTATTACACATAC